CTTGCTGTAAAATGCTGCCCACAGCTATGGAAAAGGTGTCTGCCCCACTCTCTTTACTGTCCATGTCCTAGAAAACTCTTGTTTATGAATTGTCTCTTCACAGAGCAAGTCCACCACTTGCTGGGTTTCTCATTCTGAGGCTCAAAAACTTACAAAGTCTCAATCCAGCCTCTTGCCTTAACTGCTGCCAATAGGCCTTCATCACTTTGTCTTCCTGTTTGTTTGCAGGTTTGGCGTAAATTGTGTTAAGTGGAAAACTTGGCTCTCTGGGAATGGGAAAATTAGTGATTCCTAGTTTATGCATTTCTTTCTTGCCTTGCTTTTAGAATTGCACTTTTGGAGTTCCTTTAGACACTCAGAAATGTAGAGAGTTGTGTATATCAAGGGCCTATCAGCTTTATTCTTAATCTCATGGTTTTTGAAGAAGTCATTGGCCTTGAAATAATAGATGGCTTCATCCACAAAATCTGTGTCTTTTGTCTTTCTAAGGGCAGGTCCTTTGAACTGACTTCTGATGGGCAACAGTGCCATGTTTCCCAATGAGTTTGGTGTCAGAGTCCATGAGAGAAGAATGGTAAGCCGGCATCTTGATGTCTCCGAGTTTTCTGAGGTTTCTTTTTTTCTTCTTCAGCAGTTTTCTTGGCTCTTGCCTCCTTTGCTCAGCTAGGCTATCCAACAACTCCTCCTTCATCAGTTCCTCAGGAACAACTTCTTTGTGTGTGTGTGTGTGTGGGGGAGCATTTATTATTATTTTTTTAATACATTTTATTGATTTTTTACAGAGAGGAAGGGAGAGGGATAGAGAGTTAGAAACATCGATGAGAGAGAAACATTGATCAGCTGCCTTCTGCACACCCCCAACTGGGGATTTGCCTGCAACCAAGGTACATGCCCTTGACCGGAATCGAACCTGGGACCTTTCAGTCCGCAGGCCGACGCTCTATCCACTGAGCCAAACCAGTTAGGGCAGGAACAACTTCTAAGAGATCCTCGGTGTGATCCTCATCCACACCCAGGTTAAAGTAGTTTACAATCTCAACCACAGCCATGTTGACTTTTGCAATCTTTACACTACGATGTTACAACAGCTACAGCACTAGGTTATAGGAATTTTTCAGCTCCATTATAATTTTATTATAACATTATGTCATTATTATAACATATATGAAGGGACCACCTTCATATATGCGGTTCATCCTTGACCAAAAAAGCATTATGCAGTGCATGACTATTTAATTTTTTTCTTTAGGAAAAATTTAATTTACGAAGTAATTTTTTTCCTCACCCAAAGAAATGTTTATTGATTTAAGAGAGAGAGTAAGAGCCCAGCTGGTTTGGCTCAGTGGTTGAGCGTCGACCATGAACCAGAAATCATGGTTTGATTCCCGGTCAGCGGGTTGTGGCTTTGATCCCCAGTGTGGGGTGTGCAGGAGGCAGCCGATCAGTGAGAATCATTGATGTTTCTATCTCTCTCTCCCTCTCTCTTCTTCTCTGAGATCAATAAAAAAACATATTTTTAAAAGAGAGAGAGAAAAGTAGGGGAGGGTGGGAGTAAGGGGAAGAGATCAACCGAAGGACTTGTATACATGTATATAAGCCAAACCAATGGACATGGACAACAGGGGGATGGGAGCATGAGTTTGTGTGTGGGGGGGGGAGGTTGGGGGTTAATGGGGGGGATGAGGACACATTTGTAATACCTTAACTAATAATAATAAAAAAAATAAATAAATAAAAGAGAGAGAGAGAGAGAGAGAGAGGAAAAGAGAGAGAAAAACATTGATTGGTTGCCTCCTGTATGTGCCCCAAATGGGAATTGAACCTGCAACGTAGGTATGTGCCCTGACCAGGAATCAAACCCACAACCTTTTTGGTGTATGGGACAATGCTCTAACCAATTGAGCAACCTGGCCAGGGCATAATTTAATTTAAATTTAAGTTAATTTAAATTTAATTAATCTCAGGAGAGGCACTAATTTAAAAAAAAGTTGAGAAACATTGTTCTATAATAATGAACCTCCAAACTTTAGTGGATCACCAGAATAAAGGTCACATTTCTTAACCTGCCCCGCAGATAGATATGGCAGTGTGACTAAGTTCTGGCTTATGGGAGATGATGGAAAGTGACGAGTACTGTGGGAAGAGCTCAGGAGATTTATCTCAGTGCAGTGGCAGATGCAATGGCGTGAGCGCACTCCGCCTATACAAGCTTCCTCTGCACACCAGGAAGTGGCAGCGCCCGCCTGAGCAAGCCCCCTAGAGCCCCTACATAGTACCCTGATCTTTCCTACCATTGGTTGCCCTAAGGATGGTGTAAACTTCTGATTGGTCCAAAAAGTTATATATGTTGCTGCACTTACACAATAAAGTCAGATCTGCGTCTTTGAACCTGGTCTCCTGAGTCGGGCATGCTTCGTTAGGACTCCGTCGGCCTCACCCCCGCGGGACCCCCTGCCTCAGAGTACAATCCCAGGATGGGTCTAAAAATGAGGAACAATCCCTTTTCCGCCTTCCCACCATCCTGTACTTGGAAAGCAGACATGGTGTCAAAGCCCCTTGGGCCATATGCAAGAGGGCAGCAACCTGGAGATGGCAGTGAATCAATGAGATAGAACCTAGGAGACTTCATGGAGCAGAACCACCATACACACTCTAATCAACCTGCCTCTTTCAAGGAGAAATGCATATATCTTAATTAGCCACTATTAATTTGGGTCTCCATTACATGCAACTGATCCCTTACTCTTTTTTTCTTTTTCTTTTTTTTTTGAGAGAGAGAAAGGAAGAGAGAGAAACATCGATATTAGAGAGAAACATCAATTGGTTGCCTCCTGTACACACCCCCAGAGGGGATCAAACCAGAAACCTGGGTATATGTCCTGAGAATTGAACCTACAACCTTTCAGTGTACAGGGACAATGCTTCAAGCAACTGAGACACACCAGCCAGAGCATTACTCTATTTTTATTTTTTAATTATTATGGTAAAAAAATGCATAACATGAAATTTACAATTTTAACCATTTCTAAGTGTACAGTTCAGTAGTCTTAAGTATATTCACATTATACAACAGATCTCTAGAACTTTTTCATTTTTCAACACTGAAACTCTAAAACCTACTAAAGACTAATTTCACCTCACCCTCTTCCCAATCCCTTGGCAGCAGCCTTCCTATCTTCTGCTTCTAGATTTGACTTTAAATACTTCAGATGAGTATTTCTCCTTTTGTGACTGGCTTATTCCACTTAGTATAATCTCTTCAAAGTCCATCCATGTTGTAGCATGGGACAAGATTTCCTTCTTTCTTAAAGCTGCTTAAAGTTTCATTGCTTGTTCTTATACCACGTTCTTCATCCATTCATCTGTCAGTAGACATTTGGGTCACTTCACCTTTGCAAATAAGGCTGTTGTGAATAATGCTACCATGAATATGGGTTAGCAAATTTCTCTTTGAGATCCTTCTTTGAATTCTTTTGGGCCTATTCCCAGAAGTGGAATTGCTGCATCATATGGTCATTCTATTTTTAATGTTTTGAGGAGCCTCCCTATTCTTTTTCATAATGGAAGCACTATTTTACATTCCCACCAATAGTGCACAAGGGTTCCACCTTCTCCAACAGTTGTTATTTTCTAATTTTTGATAGTGGCATCCTGATGAATATGAGGTATATCATTGTGGTTTTGATTTGCATTTCCCTGTCTTTTATAATTATGATGTTGAACATTTCATGTGCTTATTGGCCATTTCTATATCTTCTTTAGAGAAATGTCTATTCAAATTTCTCTCCCTTTTTAAAATCAGGTTTGTTGTTGCTGCTGTTGCTATGTTGTAGAATTTTCTTATAAATTCTAGGCCAGTGATGGCGAACCTTTTGAGCTCGGCGTGTCAGCATTTTGAAAAACCCTAACTTAACTCTGGTGCCGTGTCACATATAGAAATTTTTTGATATTTGCAACCATAGTAAAACAAAGATTTATATTTTTGATATTTATTTTATATATTTAAATGCCATTTAACAAAGAAAAATCAAACAAAAAAATGAGTTCACATGTCACCTCTAACTCGTGTGTCATAGGTTCGCCATCACTGTTAGGCATTAACTCCTAATCAGATATATGTTTTGCAATTATTTTCTCCCATTCCATAGGTTGTTTTTTCACTCTGTTGATTGTTTTCTTTGATACAAGCAAAGAAGTTTTTAAGTTTGATGTAGTCCCATTTGTCTATTTTCAACTGATCCCTTATTCTATAACTAATTCAACCATTAAAAATAACAATAGCCCTAACCGGTTTGGCTCAGTGGATAGAGAGTCAGCCTGCAGACTCAAGGGTCCCAGGTTCGATTCCGGTCAAGGGCATGTACCTCGGTTGCGGGCACATCCCCAGTAGGGAGTGTGCAGGAGGCAGCTGATCCATGTTTCTCTCTCTTTGATGTTCCTAACTCTCTATCCCTCTCCCTTCCTCTCTGTAAAAAAAAAAAAATCAATAAAATATATTTTTTAAAAAATAACAATAAACTGTAGCAGCGATGGCATAAAAAACAAAGGAAGCTTATCACAGTAGGAAATGACCTGGTCCTGGAGGAAATTATCATAGGTTAAGAAAAAATAAGTCAGCCATATATTATATAAATAGTAAGGAAATTGGAAGAGTGTTTTACTTATCTGGACTTCAGTATTTCCCATCTGGAAACCACATTTCCAACTCTTGTTGTATGATATCATTATATAACCTATTCTTCATCCTAGGTGAGCAGCTGTGAGTGTACTAAAGGCTGCCAGTGATACTGGTTTCACATCCCTTACTATAAACCACCCATTTATGTGAAATGGACATAAATCATGCAGAAATTCCCTTGGATCTGAGAGTAGGGTTTCCCCTAGAACAATTGTTTGTGGGCAGTTTAGCTAGATCAGCTAAGAATACTAGCCAATCAGAGTTTCGGAGGGAAAATGTTTTCCTATATAAATATGATTTTCAATAGCATGTTCTCTAAAGAATTTCCCAGGCTTGAATTCCAATAGAGGAGTGACTCAGTAGAACTCCATTCTACCGCTATGAAGAAAAGTGGTGTTTCTCTCCTTTTGGGTATCATCTTCCTGACTCTGATTGAAGTTCAAGGTAAGGGGTTCTGATTCACATTAGGTTAATAAACTCAGAGATGTAAATGGCTATAAAAAGCCTCTTGAATTGCCCAGTAGAGGTGATTGCATGCATCAGAAAGTGATGAGTCACTCATAAAAGCTCATTGATGTCGTTGATTATCCCAAGTTCCTATCTTAGACTTGCCAAATCAAAAAAGTCTTCTCAGTCTTGGTGTTTGAACTCCTGGCATGTTGTAAATGTTCAATAAATGTTTATTGAACTGTAGATAATGAGATTAAAGACTCTAGAGTTATTTTTTTACCCTAATATTTTTTCTTGATAAGTATTACTCTGCTTAATCAATTAAAGATCCAATAATCAGAGACATTGTTTTTAACTTGTTTCCTGTTGGCCTTTGTTACCTTAAGCAAATTAGTGAACTTTTCTAGACTTCAGTTTCCTCAGCTGAAAAATGGATATTTTATAGTTATGATTTTTCTACCTCATGATGTATGGCATATAGTAAGCACTAAGTAAATATATGATATATGTTGAATAAATAAAAGAATTAAGGAATGAAGATAGTGTATTTTAAAGAATTTCCAAAAGTTTAAAGCACTATTGAAAAGCAAGGCAGTGAGGAGGAGGAGGATGGTGGTGGTAACTGGTTATTATATGTACAGGTTTCTGTCTAAATCAACACCAACTGCAAGGTCATGTAATAAAATGGCTTTGGAAATTGCTTAGGAAACTGTGGCCCACATAGCACCCATGAATTAGGTATCCATGTGTCTGACCTGCAATAGGCATTTATTAAATATTGTGAAAATCTTTTTTCCTAAGGTTGTAGAATATGGTAGTTAAGAGCAATGCCTTTGGATTCAAACTCTTTCCCTGCCCCCTAAAAGCTGAATGCCTTTGTTCTTTACTTCTTTGAACTTGAGCTTCTTTGTCTATAAAATGAAAGTGATACCTACTTCAAAGTTTGTGGTAATAATTATTAGAAACTCAGGAAATGATAGTAATAACCATGATTAAGTCAAATGTATCATTTTGATGGATCACCTAAATTGAGACATTGCCCTAAACCAGTGTGTGCTAACCATTCCCTTTCTCTTAGGAGTCCCAATAATGAAGAAAGGACGCTGTTTCTGCATCAACACCAACCAAGGGATGATCCACCTAAAATCCTTAAAGGACCTTAAACAGTTTTCCCCAAGTCCTTCTTGTGAGAAAACTGAAATCATGTAAGTAAAATCTCATCCAACATGCATGCATCTTATTGGCAGGAACATTAAATTTAGTGTGAGTATTACCCTTGGAATGCTTGCCTATACAGACACTTAAAATTCAGATTGTTGCTCCTCTGCAAATCTTGCCTACTTCTTGCTTTTCTAAAAAACAAACAAACCCCAAAACAAACAAATAAAACAAGCCAACAACCAACAAGTAATTTCTGGTGGGGGTTAGGAACAAAGACATATCACAAAAGTAATATATGTTCATTGGAGAGAATGTTTAATGCAGATAACCTAAAAGAAAAAAAAATAAATATTATTTATAATGCTACCATCCAGTGACAAATGCTGTTAATCTCTTGGTATGTGGTTTTCCAGATCTCTCTCATTTGCTTTGTGTGTACATATATAGACACGAAAAATATATACATATATTTATAAATATAATATATATGCACACAAAAATAAAATCATACCCTACATACTGTTTTTTCATTAATACTATATCATGAACGTTTCTTCATGTCAGTACATCTTCTGTCATAATACCATCTTTTTCTGATAATGTCATTTTTAATGGTCAAATTATATTCCCATCGTATGCATGTATCATAATCTGTATAACCAATGCTAATTGTAGGTTATTTTCTATTTTTTCCTATTGAAATCAAACTCTTATTATGGCAATATTGTGTCTTGAATTCTTTCCTACTAATAATACCTTTCTAGAGATTAGAATTGATAAGTTAAAGTACATGTATACTTAAGTCTTTTGAAGCCTAAATCGAGAATGATATATAGACTGGCTATTCTTATTCTCAGATTATATTGATAAATTAAAGAAAAAAAATCTTTGAATTATTCAAGGAGAGTATGCTGTAATTTATCAAAATTCAAACAGTCTGTTAATCTTAGGATAACATTTTATTATGTTTTAAGTAGTTTCATTAGAAAATTTGGCAAAATTTATGCTGATTTTCATTGTTTCGGGGGGGGGAAAGTAGGTATATTGACAACATTTCTATTTTTCTTCTTCAGTTAAGCTTAAATAGCTATTTCTAGGACAAAATAATATCATCTTTAGATATGTTTCTCTCACTGCATACACCTGTGGGATTTTTAAATTTATGGTTATGTGCTATCCTAGAAATTTATCTAAGTCTCTCATTCGATTAAAAAGGAAAAAAGACTGGGATTCTCAGATGCTTATAGTGATGACACAAGTACACTCTAATTGGGAAATTGAATTCTGAGGATAAGATGAAGCATTTAAATTATTAAAAGTTAAAATATTTTTTAAAAAGTTAAAATCTTGTTGCTATTACCTTGGCAGCGCTACAATGAAGAATGGGACTCAAACATGTCTAAACCCAGATTCAACAAATGTGAAAAAATTGATGAAAGAGTGGGAGAAACAGGTTGGTGAAAAGAAGGAACAATTTTTTTTTTCCCTTAGAAATTAACTTTGGAAGACAAAGAATCTATGTAGTTCCTTTAAAGGTACATTTTAAAAAATTCTTATTATTGTATTCCTGTTTTGTTACTAGAATGATGTCCTCACTTTGGTATCCTATCTGATAAAGAGGGGATATGCTAATTGACCCTTGTGCCATCACAAATATGGTGGCACCCACAGCCAATAAGGAGGGAATATGCTAATTGACTGCCCTGCCCTCAAAGATGGCAGCACCCACAGCCAATAAGGAGGGGATATGCTAATTGCCTACACTGCCCTCAAAGATGGTGGCATCCACAGTCAATAAGGAGGGAATATGCTAATTGACTGCCATGCCCTCAAAGATGGCGATGCCCAGTCCCTTCAGCCCCGCGGGGCAGCAGGTGTGCGACAAGGTCGGGCCCAGGCAGGCCCAGCCTTGCCGTGTGCCTGCCTCTGGAGTCCCCCAGTCCCCTCAGCCACCCAGCTGCCCAGGGCCCGCCCAAGGTGCAGGCAAGCCTCGGATGGCAGCTGCCCAGCCACCCAGGGCCACCAGCAGCTCAGGTAACCAGAGCCGGCTGAGGATTGCGCTGCCAGCAGTGGCAGCCTCAGAGGTGTGATGGGGTGTCGCCTTCCCCTGGTCGCCAGGTTGCCTCCCACCCCTGAGGGCTCCTGGACTGTGAGAGGGGGCAGGCCAGGCTGAGGGACACCCCCCCCCTCCCCGCTCCAGTGCTTGAATTTTCATGCACTGGGCCTCTAGTATAGTTATATTCCTGCATAGAGTATCACTTGTCTATCGCACCACTAGAATGTGGGTTCCATGAGCAAAGGGAGCTTATCTTTCTTATATAACACAATGAATGTGTATTTAAATGAATAGTAGACACTGAGAATAGAAAGGTAATAAGATAGTACCATCCTGCTATAGCAAATATTCTAACAATAAATTAAAGCACAATTTCATATATTAAATAAAAATATGTACAAGAATCTTAAAGAAAGAGTAAGTAATTTTGCTGAAGGGAGGGGCAGGGAGAAACTATTAAGGAAGACTTTTCATAAAAGGTGACATTTGATTTAGGTCTTGAAGGATAAGTAGTTCACCACGAGGGCAAGGACATCATGAAAGATAGAATCATGAGAGAGCTTGCTGTGTTCAGGGAGCCTCTAGTAACGTGGGTGGAGTTTGTATGGAGGGAATTAAGGGATTAGGTAAAAGAGTAGACCAGGACAGAGTGGGAAGAAACCTGTATGACATGCTAAGGAATTATGTCTGAAGAGGGACACAGAATATGTAGTTGGGAGTGTAGCTTTTGGAGTCTGATAGACAGTGGTTCTGCCACATACTAGCTATGCAACTTTAGGCAAGTCGCACTCTCTGAGCCTCAGTCTCCCCATAGGTAAGAAGTAGATGATACTTAAGTAGATTTAAGTATATATGTACTTTAACTTAGCAATTCTATCCTCCAACATCAGGAGTTGTACTTGGGACAGTTAGGTCATAAGCAAGATTGGAGTGAGGGTAGTAATGAGCCAGGAGAATGGACAAAAGAAGACCAATTAGAAGGCTGTTGCCTCCTCCTCAAAGTGGATGAAGTAGAAAGAATTAAAAAGAGCTCCTTTGAGAGTAAAGCACTTTAAACCTGTTTTGAGGATGAAGAAGGACCACAGTCTAGAGCAGCCATGGGCAAACTATGGCCCACGGGCCGGATCCGGCCCGTTTGAAATGAATAAAACTAAAAAAAAAAAAAGACCGTACCCTTTTATGTAATGATGTTTACTTTGAATTTATATTAGTTCACACAAACACTCCATCCATGCTTTTGTTCCGGCCCTCTGGTCCAGTTTAAGAACCCATTGTGGCCCTCGAGTCAAAAAGTTTGCCCACCCCTGGTCTAGAGAGTTCAATTATAATATAAGAAAGGGAAAATGGTAAGATGAAGAAACAATGTCTTCCCCCCCCCCCCTCTTTGCAGGTCAGCCAAAAGAAAAAGCAAAAGAAAGAGAAAAAAAACATCAAGAAAGCAGGGAATTCAAAAAGTTAAACGATCTCCATGTCCTCATCAAAAGAAGACTATATAATTGACAGCTTTACCGACAAATATTTTCTGTTTAAAAGGTTCTTCTTAATTATACTGAAATAATTCCAGCACCTTAATCCATCAGCTTGTTGATCTGACTAGAAATTATAAAGCATCATTATGAAATTGTAATTGAAGCTAAAAAGTAGCTTTCAAAATCCAAATGTTAAGAATTGTTAGAGGCCATAGTTTGTCTTATTCTTCCGCCTATAGCCAGCTGAATTTCATCATGTTTAAGAGCAGGATCTTAGTAACACCCACATGTGGACAGATGGCCACACAACAGCTCATACACAACAGCTGCCTGGGAGAGCAGCCTTAGGCTTCCAAGACCACAGCCTGCAGCTTTCAGAGCGTATTCTGAAGCACATGTCAGCAAGTGCCAGCTTGTCAGCTTGCTGATAAGCCAAGCAGTTTGGAATTGAGCTGGACCTCACTAAGCTGCCATGGCCATCAGCATCTGTATTTGAATCCGCCTACGGGCCTCACATGCAATGTATCTGAGAGGTAAATGCTGGTAGTTTCTGGGAACCAACACTGGAGAACACTAGCACTTAGCTTTCAGAACCTTCTATCTCACTTTTGAGGCCATATGACTCCATCTTACCTGCCCAGGCTGCCCACTTTGTTTCTGTTGTTCCCCTTTGCCTCAGTCAAGCCAGTCCCTCACTGTCCTACCACAGTTCAGTGCCTGCCTCCTCTACTGTGCTGACCTCTCTTCTCATTATTTCCCCAACACCCCACAGGAATGCCTTCTCCCCACTCATCTTCACTTTACCCAGGCTTCACGATTCAATTCAATCCTGCCTCTTAAATAAAACCTTCTGGACACTCAGATTATCTTAAAACCCTATTTCACATGTGCTCCACACCACACAGGTGAGCACTTACTTATTTTCTAATTTTTTTGTGTGTTTTTTCTATCTCTCCAGCTCCTTAAGGGCAGGAGCCAAGTTTATTTCCCTGAATCTGCCACCAGTGCCTCATATACTCTGGGACTAGATTTTGAATGATTTCTTAATTGCAGTTGTTACACGTAGGAGGGAAGCCAGGCCATCCCCTCAGAGCAGGAGCTGGCTATCTATAGCAAGATTCAATATTGAGTAACCCCTGGGTAAATTCATTATCTTCAGGCCATTATCCCTGAAAGCACCCGGGGTGATGCAACATCCTTGTCTTATGACAGGATGTTAACTTGGCCTCTTGAGCAGATAAGAAGGAAATGTTTAACCATTTATGGAAGTTCTGAACTGTTTTCATAAAATATACAGGGTACCTAGAATCACAGAATCTTACAATGGGAATCTTACAAGGAGCTTTAGAAATCAACCAGTGTCAAAACCTTCTCCACCCCATGCAAATTCCTTCAGTACAATTCCTGACAAGCCTCGGTTTTCTATGATATGACAAGAAAGCCGCCAACATCCTTTTGAAAACTCATTTTATGCTGAAACCGGTTTGGCTCAGTGGATAGAGCCTCGGCCTGCAGACTGAAAGGTCCCAGGTTCGATTCTGGTCAAGGGCATGTACCTGGGTTGCGGGCATATCCCCAGTAGGAGATGTGCAGGAGGCAGCTGATCGATGTTTCTCTCTCATCGATGTTTCTAACTCACTATCTCTCTCCCTTCCTCTCTGTAAAAAATCAATAAAATATATTTAAAAAAAAACACCTCATTTTAGGTAAATATGAATGTCCTTGTCATTAAACTTTTCTCAGAGTTGGTAAAATATTGTGATTACTGATTATTTCACCAGGTCTCGTGAAGAAAGGTGATATTAAGATACCAAGAGCTGGAGGGAGCAGCAAATTCTGTTAGAGGAGACAAGACTGGTGCTCACATAGCTTCCGCCGGGCTTGGAAACTCTCTTAAAGAGGAGGCTTGGTGAACTGTGTAGGACAGGATGTCTTTTGCCAGAATTTAAACAAATGCCTTCCTGCAAATTTTGTTACTCCTTACCCAACAGATGATTTTCAGTGCTGCCCAGTGGTGATCCCACCCAAGCAATATCTGATCTAATCATGAAACTCTAGCTCCTTCCATGTACATCCTTGAAAAACCTAAATGTTCCCTAATTTGAGAGTTTGTGAACCAATTACTACACAACTCACAGGTAAAGTGTAGTGTATAACTAATAATCAGAAACCACATTTTATAACATATAAGTGCATGATATTCATCATTTACATATACATGTATACTCTCTAAGCAAATAAGTTCAAAGCAGTATTAGCATATATACCTTATACTCTGAAATAATTTCTTTGTTAAAAGATGGTATCAATAAATGAACCATTAATCAGAAAACAAGTCTTGTTTTAATGTCTTGAACATACACTTCAACTATTGCATGCTTAACAGTAGTTCTCACATGTCTTTATTGATTTGCTTTCATCTCAGATAAAGGATAATGGAGATAAAGACTTGGAAGCCCTTTAAAGGGCTCTTTGGGGACAGAAAAAAAAAATATGGAAAATGTGACAACAATGCCTTATTATAACAACATTGATGGATAAGAGTTACGTGAAATGGAATTTATTGTCTAATTCTGAAGGATAGTCCTAGCCCAATCAGATGTATCCTGAGGAAACAAAAAAAGTCCTCTTTTACATATTCTGAAAGCACATATGTTTAAATATTATAAAGTCATAAGTAGCTATGGTGGATATCTAAATAAGCATAAGATACTTACGAGTGCAGAAAATTTGGGCTGGAGATATTATGTAGTGTGGACTCTAAGAAGGTTGAATGTGGACAAAAAATATCAGTGAGGTACACTGAGAGGCCAGACAGGTGTGACATTTGGGCAGCTGCGGACATGACTACCTACACGGGCCTTAACCTGAAAGATAGGATTCTAGATTCTGAGATACCTGGTTTAAGCTCAAAAGCCCACCACTTACTGGCTGTGTGACCTTGGCTCACCCATACTATTTAACCTCCCCATGCACCAGTGTCCTCATTCAGGGCTGTTGTGAGGAATAGGCCCAGCATAGATCTTGGTGCTGAGGAAGCACTTAGTGTCAGTTCCACCCTTCTCTGACTATTTACTTCTGCCGCGCCTTCTTCACAACAAACGGTGTTCCACATCTCACACTCGGGGATGCTTCCAGGACTAAAAATATATGTTGGAGAAGAGATTAAAAGCCTGCCTGACCAGTTTTTCATATCTATATTTTTATACTCAAAGTCCAGGCTATCCTTGTCTCTTTCCTGGGCTACCATAATAGTTTCCCTGCTGCCCCTTTTCTTCAAGTTTAATTTTCCTTCCTTACCTCCATGCCAGCCAGAATGATATTCATTCTCTCTCTCTCTGTCTCTCTCTCTCTCTCTCTCTCTCTCTCTCTCTCTCTCTCTCATATTTTTATTTATTTCAGAGAGGAAGGGAGAGGGAGAGAGAGAGATAGAGACACTGTACAGCCCTAACCGGTTTGGCTCAGTGGATAGAGTGTCGGCCTGCAGACTCAAGGGTCCCAGGTTCGATTCTGGTCAAGGACATGTACCTTGGTTGCGGGCACATCCCCAGTAGGAGATGTGCAGGAGGCAGCTTATCGATGTTTCTCTCTCATCGATGTTTCTAACTCTCTATCCCTCTCCCTTCCTCTCTGTAAAAAATCAATAATATATATATATATATTTTTTAAAAGAAACACTGTACACCCCACACTGGGGATTGAGCCCACAACCCAGGCATGTGCCCTTGGCCAGAATCTAACCTGGGACCCTATCCACTGAGCCAAACCGGCTAGGGCCAGAATGAGCCTCTCAAAGAATAACTCACAGAATACTACCACCTTGCTTAAAATCCATCAATTTTGAATTAAATCAACCATACCTCAGCCTACCAAGCCATATGTGAGTTAAGTTCTACCTGCTTCTCTTACCAGGCTCCCTCTATTCTCATTTATTGAGCCCAGCCTCACCTTCTTTCTGTCTCTCAAGCACACTGAGTTTACTTCCTTCTCGGGGCCTTTGCCTACACTGTTCCCCGTTGCGCTATATCAGTGGTTAAGCTGGGAGCTCTGTTTCCCAGAATCCCCTTCCCTGTGTAGTTATAATGTAAGAGTTAGCCAAAGAAACACCTGTGTGAGATTTTTAAAAGAGAAGTGAAGGAATAGCCATTACTCTTGATAAGATAGAACGACAGACACCTTGGTATTCAAGGATCCCAGCTTGCCCTTGCTCTCCTCTTGTCTTCATGACTGCTGGCCTCTCGATCAACAATGGTCCCAACCAGATCTTGGAAGTGCACTCACAGAGACTGTAGTTACACAGAAGCTACAGCTTCCCACAGGCCCCCAGATTGGCAGCTGGACAGGCTTGGCTTCTTGGATTTTTCTCATGAGCTCTTTGTCCAACTGTACCAGTGCTTCTGATGGCTTCATCAGTGAATCTTTCTCCAATACCTGACTATCGTCCCAGACTTTCCCTTCTTGAGATCCTCCATCATCTGTGGAAAATCTGATTCCTGTAGTAATTCCTTTATTTCCACAATGTCAAAGTCAGCCATATAATACAGAGAAAAAACTGCGTTGTTACTGAAAATGAGAAATACCAGTAATGACTTCTACAATATTAAAAGCAGCAGAATTAAAAGCAGGTCTCTCTCTCTCTCTCTCTCTCTCTCTCTCTCTCTCTCTCTCTCTCTCTCCCCCTCCCCCCCCTCCCCCGCATTAGTTGATTCTGGTATGTGCCCAGGGATTGAACCCACAACTTCAGCCCATCTGGACGATGCTCTAACCCAGTGGTCGGCAAACTCATTAGTCAACAGAGCCAAATATCAACAGTACAACGATTGAAATTTCTCTTGAGAGCCAAATTTTTTAAACTTAAACTATATAGGTAGGTACACTGTTATTAACTTAATTAGGGTACTCCTAAGGCTTAGGAAGAGCCACACTCAAGGGGCCAAAGAGCCGCATGTGGCTTTCGAGCCGCAGTTTGCTGACCATGGCTCTAACCAACTGAGCTACCCAACCAGGGCCAGGGCAAGTGTCTCTTGTTTGGGGCCTTTGATTAGGGCCAGACTGGCTAGGAGTTTTTATGGATTGGAACTCAAAGCAAAAGTGAGCTGCAAAAGGGAACTAAATGTCTCTGAATAATAAGGGAACAGGAATTACCTCTGGCAGCTAAGGAGTATGTTGGGGATCCTGAAACAGCAAAAAGAGAAGGCAGTGAAGTAGGACTGTAAAAATGAAGTAAAGGCAAAGGAGACCAGTGAGAAATTGTCTGTGGTAAGATGCCAGCTTTAAAACACTGCTGTGTAGCATTCATTTTGGATATTGCAAGTAAGTCCAGAATGCTAGAAAACTCTGGGGCCAGCTGGGTTATGTGGCAGCCGTAAAGGTGTGCTGCTTGGATCACCCTTCAACAAAGAACTTACTTTCAACCACAGGGAGAGAGAGCAGTTAGCTGACACCCTCTAGCTGCTGCACTGAAGAGGAGACTCACCTCAGGTTTCAAGCCAAGGCCAAATCCAAGTAGTCTCCAGCCAATGACTGAGTATTGAAGGAATACTAAGGATTGACCATTCCTGCCCAATTCAGGACTCCTCTGATGGGCAATCTTTAGTCAGGTGCTCCCCCTCGGGTTCACTAAGACTTTCTCAGACCTTCATCACAGTCTGGGGCAATCTTTCTGCTTTTTTCCCACGTTTATTTTCATAAGGGTTACCTCCAATAAACTTCTTGTGCATCTGATTCTGTCTCAGTGCCTACTTCTCAGAGAACCCAAATGACACAGACTACATGTGATAGACTTTATATTTTGAGCAATAAGTGTTAGTTAGCTGCTATTATCTTTATTATTATTTCATACAGCCTCAAACAGAGGCTCTTAACACTGGAAGAAACCTTTTAGATGGACATACAAACAGGAGCCTGGAAATCAAGAGACTGGAGTATGTTTCTGGTCCTGCCACTCATTGGCTAAGTAGCCTTGACAAGTCTTATGACCTCTCTGAATAGCAATTTCTTCATCTGCAAACTGAGGAAGGAGAGATTATGATCTCTAAGGTTTCTCTAAGTTTTCTCCCAAAACATTATCCCCTTTCATGCTCCGTCTTGTACACTATAGCTTTTGATTAATAGCTACCTAATACCCACCTTTTTATAGTGATGCTCCCTGTACTCATGTAAGTATGTTTATATTTTAAAATAGCTGCCATGTGGAAGGAACTCCTACCATTTGCAACAGCATGGATGGAGCTGGAGAGCATTATGCCAAGTGAAATAAGTCAGTCAGAGAAAGATAAATATCACATGATCTCACTCATTTATGGAATATAATGAACAACATAAACCGATGAACAAAAATAGATCTAGAGACAGAGAAGCATCGATCAGAGGGAACCTCAGAGGGAAGGCAGGGGAAGGTGGGGCTAAGGGGGAGAGATCAACCAAAGGACTTGTATGAATGCATATAAGCATAACCAATGGATACGGACACCAGGAAACGGGGGAGGGGGTGAGGTCATAAGTGGGGGAGTGGGGGGGACAATGGGGGGATAAGGACACGTTTGTAATACCTTAATCAATAAAGGGAAAAAAATTTAATAAATAAAAAATAAAATAACTGCCATGCGGAACTAGTTTAGGACTGCCAGAATGGGAAAAGGCCACTTCTCTAGGCTTAAATTATTTTGTTAACAATTATATGAAAATCAGAAGACTCCAAATGGGTTTCATTCTTTCTTTATTCTCTATCAAATGCAATGCCAAATAGTATCCA